CCGATCTCCCCAAAACCCCAAAACCCCAAAACCCCATCTGTAAACAATAGAAAATTAAGTTAAGGTAAATTTTTAGAATATTAAAGGAGAATATAAGGTTAACAAATCTTAAGCCAATGAAAGGGGGATATATATGCTTTGAATTTTAATCTTTGAAGTAAACCATATAAAGCATATTTATCTCTTTCATCTCATAATAATGAATATGATTAATATCAAGAATCTTAGAAATCAGAGACGTCAAACATAATTGAAGCTTGATCTATTCTACCCTCTATAAGACTAGCTTTAAAGCTTTATACTTATGATGGACTAGCCTGTGCTAGGAATTTAGGATCAAATGAGATCCTTCTTCTGTGTGAAGTACTTAGTTTGTTATTCATTGTACTATCACCAGTATTTGCATTTTCAATGTAAAAGTTGTATTAGTGTTCTTAATCATTTTTAGTCATGTTTTACTCGTTGGCCATTCTTAAGGCTTCATCAAGCTTTTGATTCAGGAAATACAGATCATCAAGTTTTTCCTTTAGTTATCTATTTTCCTTTTCAAAATCATTATTTTCTTTTTTAAGAGTTGTCATACGCTTGAATAACTTTACTGAGGCTAAGTCGTTAGTGCCGTTAGACACATTTGGATGGGCTTGATTGTTTTGCATTTGCTGATTTTTCTTATTTAAGAGTTAATTAAGGATTTAGATATCAGTAGTTGAAGCATCTGATCTTAAATTTTGATGAAGATCACTCATTGCCTCCAATAGTTGTCTCAAATTTTAAATTTCCATATTAGCCACGTCTAATTATAGTTGTAATTTCTTATTTTGAAATACGACATTTGAAATTTTGAGCTCCTACTAACTATTACTAGCATCCTGGATGTTTAGTTCATCCAGCTTTGACTTTACATAGTCGTCATATACTGCGATCTCCTAAAGCAGGTACTCGTACTCTTTCACTCTTTTTTCTACAACTTACAACGAGTATTCCTTGCGTTCGACAGTATCCTTCAGCTCGCTAATTTGGCCCTCAAACATTCTGGACATCTCACACTCTCTATTCTGAAACTCTTCCTTGATTTGATCGCTGATCAGGATCTAGGCATGTAACCCCTCCATGATTTTCTGCTGCTTTTCAGCCTAGGCCATTTGGTTTTTAATCTCCTACTAGAACAGTTCAAAGCAGCCCTTGTACTCCTAGTTAATGGTGGCATCAACTAGCGCACCAATAATCTCTTTATTTATCTTGACTGTCTTCTCCAAATCACCCATTCTGTTTTTTAGATTAGTGTTCTCTTATTCCAAAAACTTTATATTTAGGTTCTTCTTACGGATAGTCTGCTATTCCTCAGCAAACTCGTCCTTGAATAGTTCTGGGTCTGTTAGAATTTTACCTTCCATTTTAAGAATCAATTTTATGATTTCTATAATTATTATTAACTATCTAAATGCTAAGTCATTACATTATATGTAAATAAACTAGATTGTTTAAACATTAATTCTAAACGAGCTTGGATTTTATTTGCTTTATTATATAATTGAATAATTCGAGTAAATATTTTAACCACGGGGTTTTGGGGTTTTGGGGAGATCGGAAGAGCGTC